TTTTTTTTTTTTTTTTTGAGAGGTTTTTGCTATAGGGCACGTGCGCTCGCCAGACACAGAGAAAGAGACAAAGAGATAGAAAACGAGAAATCATGCCCCAGGGGGGGATGGCCACGCCGCAATCCGTTCTCCTCCATTCTCCTCTCGGGATCTTGGGCACGCATGCACACGTGCCCGGTGTGAGTTCAAGCCACTGGGTCCAGGACGCGAACTGCGGTCGACTACGTGGGAGTCCAGCAACATAGCCATTACACTAACTGCTGGTCCCTGTTTTCTTGCATCTCTATTAGCTTTGTCACTATGAATATTTAAAATTCTTTATCTGACATTGCCATGAGTTCCTTTATATTCTCTGTGGAGAAAGAGGAGTTATTCTTTTCCCTTAAAGGAGAGAGATTTTCTTGGTTTCTCAAATTTCTTGTGCCTCTGCAAGTGGTTTCTGGTCATCTGATGGATTATATGTTTTTTCCTGGTTTTTGGATTTATATATGAGCATTCAGAGGACTGCAGATGGAGGTGACCTACAGTCTCTAAACAGCACCATTTTTCTCCCTGATTCAATGAAAATTGAGACTATTTAAATCAGTGTGTGGAGGCTGAACAGAAAAGTGAGAAAGGGAAAAAGAAAAGGAAAATGAATAGAAAAAAAAAGAAAAAAAAACCCAAGACAAAAACAATAAAAAAGAAAAAAAATTGTCAAAAAATGAAATCAGAGCTTAGCAGAGAGCTAAGTTTAAAAATTAAAAAAAATAAAAAATAGACAGAGATGGAGAGAGACAGAGAGAATAAGTAGGGTGCTCTAACCTGGCTCCTGGCTAGATCTGGGGGCAGGAGGGTGAAGTCTGTGCAGAGGGTCTTCCATGGTCCATTAAAAGTTTTAATGTGGGACCAGCAGGTAGCATAGCAGTTAAGGTGCTGGACTCCCACATAGCTGATTGTGGTTCAAGTCCTGGACCCAGCAGCTTGAAACTCACTCTAGGCTGTGTTTCTCACTGTTTCTCTCTGGTGATCACACACACCCTATGGCAAAAACCTTTAAAAAATTTTTTTAAAGGAATTTTTTATTTAATTTTATTCATTATTGCTATTATTTCTTTTTAATTTGCTGTAGGGCACATGTGAACTAAGAAACAAGAAAGCAAGCTGCCAGTCCGGGACTTGAAACACAGTCAGCCATGTGGGAGTCCAACACCCCCTCGAAAAAGTATTAATGTGACACTTAAGCAACATATGTGGGGGCCACATGGTGGTGTAGTGGTAAAATGAGACACTCAGCAGGGCTGACCCACGTGTGAAAGTTTCCGGCTTAAGTCCAGAGACCTTTAAGAGTGAACGGGGCACACATGTACTCATGATTTGGGGCTGGTTGTGGCTGGGTGTGGATCACAGCATTGAAATGCTATTGGAGGTTCTCTCTCTCACATGGTCATGAAAGAAAGAAATAAAGGAACTTTAAAAAAATAAAAGGAGAAACATAAATGGAGCACTATGACATACTGTTTCTTCATTTAAAAGAGTCTAACATTTTACATACTTTTTGTTTATAGCTTATACAGTTCAGACGTCTGAGAATATAACTCCAACTGCTGCCTCAGAGGCTTCTTTGAAAGCTTTCGCTGTTTGCCATGGACCTCTGGACCACTATGACTTTCTGATCAAAGCTCATGAGCTAAAGGATGATGAACATCAAAGAAGAGTCATACAATGTTTGCAGAAACTACATGAGGACCTTAAAGGATACACCACAGAGGCAGAAGGCCTTTTTTCAAAGGTGAGGTTTGTGTAATATTTAAGATTGAATAGTAAAAAGTATAAGCATTTTATAAAATGGATTCAATGCAGTACGGTACAGTCAGAAAAAACTTTGAAAATTTTTCTTCAGTTCTTTTAAACAAGCTAATGAATCCCCATTTCTGACTTTTTTTTTTTTTAAGCATTTTGCCATAGAGTGTGTGTGCTCATTGGAGGCCAGTGGGGTTTGGCCACATCCTAATCCCTTCTCCTCCAGTCTCCTCTCAGGAACTTGGGTATGCATGCACATGTGCCTGGCATCATTTTCAAGCTGCCAGGTACAGGACTTGAACGATGGTCAGCCATATGGGAGTCCAACACCTTCACCACTACATCATCTGCTGGTTCTACCACTCCTGATTTATTCATGTCCCATAACTTACAGCTCAGGCCTGGCCCAGGGGTCAACAGTGAAAAAAGAGTGATTTACTTTTCCCTTTCTTCTCTTCTTTTCTCTACTTGTCTAGCTTCTCTAGGGCCAGCAGAAAGATGAAAGATTAGAACAAAACAGCAGTCTTAAGTGACCGGTTAGCTATTGGAGCCTTTGTGGAGTAGATGCAGACATGCTAACTCTGTTGAGGAGCACATCAGCGGGTTCTTCAAGATACCCATGGGGACCTCCACACCGTCCTTTCTTTGATTGATTCTAATGACTCTGGAGGAATGCCTCAACATCCCTGCTTTTGCAAGGGACCTCTTTGCCATTGCCCTTAGCTTTCTTAGATGGGGTTCATACAGGGCTACTCTTACTAGGTCACCTTTTATGTTGTCTATTTAGGCCACAGGAAGCATAATATCTCCTTTCTCCAACCCCTGCTGCATGGGCAGGTACAGTCAGCCTCCTGCCCTCAGACTTCTGTAGACAAGAAGAAGGCACCAGCCCCCATCTTCACTTTGTATATACTCATATTTCTGGAAATACTTGTGAAGTTCTGCCATGATCTCTTCCATCCCCCACTGTCATAGCATCCCATGGATTTCCTCACCCACACAAGCATCCAGCTGGGGAGGGAGATGCCCATCTCATGCTCAATTCTAATCTCCTTGGATACTTTTTGGGACCCACCCTACCCTGGGCATGAGTGAGAAAAATGCCACATCACTCTGCATCCAGCTAATGAATTTCTTTCTTTCTTTCTTTCTTTTTTTTTTTTTTTTGAGAGATTTTCGCTATAAGGCGCGTGCACTCGCCAGACAGACAGAGACATAGAGACAGAAAGCGAGAAATCACCCCCCAGGGGGGATGGTCATGCCTCAATCCCTTCTCCTCCATTCTCCTCTCAGGATCTTGGGCATGCACGCACACGCGCCCGGCGTGAGTTTTAAGTCACCGGGTCCAGGACGCGAACCGCGGTCTACTACGTGGGAGTCCAGCGACATAGCCATTACGCTAACTGCTGGTTCCCAGTTTCTATCTTGAAGTTTTTCAATTCTACTTTGGTCTTAGGGCTGTTTTTGTCTTTTTTTAAAAAGTAATTCTTACATGGATATGACCTCAAATGTTCTTCCGTTTGTGATGGGGTTATAGCCCAATAAATCCATTGTACATTGGAAATATCCCAAGTTGAAAATGCATTTAATACATTGTAGAGAATTGTTTACCCTTGTGATTGTGTGGTTGACTGGGAGCTGACCAGCAGAGAGAGAATAGCAAGTATTGTAGCAAGTAATTGCTAACACAGAAAAAGATCAAAATTCAAAACTGGAAGTAAAATGTCTTTTACTTATTTATTTTTAAAATTGGTAGGGGACCAGCAGATGGTGTAATGGTTACGTTGCTGGACTCCCATATAGTTGACAGTGGTTTGAGTCCCAGACCTAGTAGCTTAAAACTCATGTGGGACGTGTATGCATGCATGGCCAAAGTCCTGAGAAGAGAATGGAGTAGAAGGGATCATGGCGTGGCCATCCCCCCATGGGTGATTTCTTGCTTTCTGTTTCTCTCTGTCTCTTCAGCAAACACACATACCTTATAGCAAAGATCTCTCAAAAAAAAAAATTGCCAGAGGGCATGTGTACCAGAGAGAGAGAAAGAGAGTGAAAACGAACGAGAGACAGAGAGAGAGAGAAGGAAAGTGAGAAAGCACTGCCAATAGTGGTGGTCATGCCACAGTCTCTTGCCTGATATTTCTCCCTCCTTTTAAGATTCTGGGCATGCATGCACATGCACCTGGTATGTTTTCAGGCTATTGGGTCTGGGACTGGAATGGCTCTGTCAGCAGTGTGGGATTCAACTGCCAAATGCACATAATGGCTGGTCCTTGAAGTATGGTTTCTACTAAATGTGTGCCAACTTTACATCATAAAATTGTTTTTAAGAGTTTTTTTTTCTTTTGGCCTGGAGAGATAGAGACAGAGACAGTGAGAGGGAAAGTGAGAAATCACCCCCTGGAGGATAGCCATACTACAGGCCCTTCTCCTCCTCGGATCTTGGGCATTATATGCACAAGTGTCCAGCATAATTTCCAAGCTACTGGGTCTGCAGTCAGCCATGTGGGAGACCAGCAAAATAACCACTATGCCACCTGTGGCCCCAAGTGGGGCTTTTCGTTATAGTGTATCGTGAACTTGTTTCCCCTAGTCTTCAGCTTTGAACTTTTGTTGAAATTCCTATCTCTTGTGACAAAGGAAAACTCCCATTTCTTGTTCTGTTATGGAAGTCGTAGGTACCAGCAGATGGTGTGGCAGTTATGCCGCAGGGCTCCCACATGACTGACCATGGTTTGAGTCTCAGACCCAGTGGCTTCAGAATCATGCCAGGCATATGTGTGCCCAAGATCCTGGGAGAAGAAGGGAATGGGGTATGGCTCTCCCCACTGGGGAATGATTTCTCACTTTCCCTCTCACTGTGTCTGTTTCTCTCCCCAGCAAGCGCATACTTCCTAAGGCAAAAACCTCTAAAAATAAAAAATAAGTCATTGTAATCAGTAGTGTTATCTTTTTTTTTTTTTTAAGTTTTTTTTTAATTGCTAAGGGAGGGTTTGAGGGGTGGTCACACTGCAATACACCGTCCTCACTTTCTTTATCTTTTCAGGATCCTAGGCGCACACATACATGTGCCTAGCGTATTTCTCAATCTGCCCTGGCTAGGATTTGAATCATGGTCAGTCATGAAGGATTGGCTCCCCACATACAGCTATTCAGCCACTGTGCTACAGGGCTGGCCCAGTGGTATCATCTTTAAGTTAAGAAGGATATCAGTAATAAGAGTTAGATAGGGTTCACCTTTAGAAAACTAGTTTGCTTTCTTTTCCTTTTCTTTCTTCTTCTTTTTATTTATTTATTTTATTTTTTAAAATTTTACTGTATGCTGGGAACCAGCAGTTAGCATAATGGCTATGTCGCTGGACTCCCATGTAGTCAACTGCGGTTCACGTTCCAGACCCAGTGGCTTAAAACTCACGCCGGGCACGTGTGCGTGCGTGCCCAAGATCCCGAGAGGAGAATGGAGGGGAAGGGATTGCGGCGTGACCATCCCCCCTGGGGGGTGATTTCTCGCTCTCTGTCTCTCTGTCTCTGTCTCTGTCTCAGTTTGTCTGGCGAGCGCACGCGCCCTATAGCGAAAAAAATCTCTCCAAAAAAAATTTTTTTTTTGCTGTATGCTCACCAGAGAGAGAGAGACAGAGACAGAGAGGGAAAATAAGAAGTCACCCGCTCCAGAAGGAGATAGCCATACTGCAATCCTGTCTCCTCCATTCTCCTTTAGGGATTTCTGGCAGGCATACACATATGCTGGGTGTGTTTTTTAAGCTGTAGCATCTGGGACTTTTCAAGCTGTTATGTCCAGGACTTGAACTGTACAATCAGCCATGTGGGATCTAGTCGCCTTAACCTCTACGTCATCTGCTAGTCCTTCCTTCCTTCTTGCCTTCCCCTTCCTTCCTTCCTGCCTTCCTGCCTTCTTTGCCTTCTTTGCCTTCTTTGCCTTCTTCCTTCCTTCCTTCCTCCTTTTTTGTTCTAGGGGGCATGTGTACTCACCAGGAAGAGATAGAGAATGAGTGTGAGGAGAAAGGACCCATCATAGAGAATGGTCATGTTACGATCCAATCCCTTCTTTCATCTCTCCCTCCTTTTGGGCATGCATGGACAAGCATGCGTGCATACGCATGCACACACACACACACACACACACACACACCAGGCATGTTTCTCAAGCTTCTGGGTCCAGAACTCAAACTGTGCAGATGGACATGTAGGATCCTGCTGCCTTAACCACCAAGCCATGGAGCCAGCCCTGAAACTAGTTTTCTTTTCATTAAGAGATTACTGTTCTTCCTTCTTCCCCCTTGAATATTCTTTTCCTTCCTTCCTTTTTTTTTTTTTAATTTTGGTTAAGAATGATTTATTTTATTTTATTTATTATTATTGTTATTTTTTAATTTGACCAGAGATAGACAAAGAGAGAGATGGAAAGCGAGAAAGCAAGCCACTAGGTCTGGAACTTGAACTGTGGTCAGCTATGTGAGAGTCCAGCACCCTAACCATCCTGCCACCTGTCAGCCCCCTCCTTTCCTTTTTTTATTTTCTTTTATTTTGTTCTTTCTTTTTTCCATTAGATAGAGAGAGACAGAGAGAGAAAAACAGAGATGGAGACTTATTGGGTTGTTGGAAAGTGTTGATGCCATTTTGCATATGAAAACAGAAAAAATACATCCTTGATTTTTCTGACAACCCAATAGGTACTTCCACTAATATCTTCATGACATAACTTATCTCTGTCTCAGCTGGCCCAGATCATGGGCATACATGTGCCAGGTGTGCTCAGGGAGGTCCTGGATTGTGTACTCAGGACCTTTTTCATATGGTTCTACTCATGCTACCTCTGTGTCACCACCTGGTCTCCTTCAATATTCTGTTATGATAAGGGCTTTTATGATTATTATTATTATTTTAGATTTTGCTATAGGGCACATGTACTTGCAGGAGAGAGATAGAAAAAGAGAGAAGGAAATAGAAGGAGAGAGAGAATTCTGTTTGGAA